GTGTCTCAGATGAGTAAAAAGATCTATGGTCAATACATGTGTCCACCATGCATAGAATATTTTTATTTGCCCACTAACTTCTATGTCTGATAGTAAATTCAATTCATTTTTGGAAGAAGAGCTGAGCCAGGCTCCTTGAACCTGAAACCATATTGAATTATTGATCACTTTGAAGCATGCAATGGAGATTCAAAAACTGTGCATCTTGTTCTCAAAAGAGAACAGTATATCAAACTTGTTTAATACAGGAACATGTTTTAAACCTTGACAAGTTTGTGTCCAGATACAACAAGGCAACTTGAAAATGGTCACAACTTATTCAAAAATCAACAATTATATTGGATTTCCCGAAAATGGCAACCATTCAGGACAATGTCAAGCAAGGATTAATTGATTCTGAAAAAATCTAACCACAATAACCAGGAAAAAAGAGAGAAACAAATGGAAGCCTATTCACGAACTTTGATACTGTGAACCACATTTAAAAACCAAAAGTCCAGGTACATGTCTAGGGTACATATCCAACATTAGTTACTTCTAAAAGGAAGAGGTAGGAAAAAATGGAATAAACACAGTAGTAATGATGGTTCAATACAAAACATCAAGATTTAATACAACCCTTGGTGCATCTCATAGATAATGTAGCAGGAAGTGGGATTACCATTTTTTAGGATTAAGTATCCCTACTGTACATGGATGCGTACCTAACAGAGAATAGTTGGACAACATGAGTTGTACAGTCTACACAAACCACGCAACATAATACTATTAACTTTAAAAGTCACGGTCAAAATCCAGAACATAAGTTCTATATAGTTGATATACAAACTTACAGTTGGACACTTCAGCATATACCTAATCGATAGCACAATTAAACAAGACTGAATGGACACACATCATCAAATCTTTGCTTGGTCCTGCACGACTTCCACAGTTGAACAGACCGGACAGAAGCACATCATCAAAGCTTTGCTTGGTCCAGCATCGCTGACATCTTCAAGTAAACGGAGGTTTCAAAAACCCACCAGTCTCATGAGATCCTTGTTGTTCACTGGTTGGAGGTTTCAAAAACCCACAGGTCTCACAAGAGTATCCTTGTTTGCTACAAGGAAAGACCAATCAACGGTAATTTCTAGCACAGCATCATCAACATAGAATTTCTTCTGACTGAAGCCAAAAGATCTGGGTGCCAAGGAGACGTGCCCTTGTGCAGTGATATCTCCGGATGATGAGTAGGCATGTACAACGAGTTCCAGGTTGCCTTCTTCATGTTCTACAGACACCACACGCCTTGACAGATCAAGGTAACCTTCCGAACCTTCAGGTGTTGCATGTCTACCAGGATCAAGCAGCACGACTTCACCAGATGAGGCATTAGCAACATAAGTGGTTTTACCGTTGATGATCTTGCGTGAGTAGGGTGCTGTCGAGCAAGCTACTCGGCATCGACGTTCAACACGCTGCCGTATCCCCTGTTTAACAACACGGATGCTGCAGATTGTGGCCTGGATTGTCGCCACAAGCAGCTCCATGCACAACTCTATTTTACATAAGCGGTTCTCAAAGCAAACGGTATGCACACCATGATGACGTGCACGATAACAGTGCGTCTTGCTGATCAATTCTCTATCTCCAGACATGGCTCCACATTTAACTTTTAGCTGAATTTCAAAGTCAACAGGATCATTGAATAGGATCGCACGAGATGGCCCAATCAAGTGCAAAAAAGGATCCTGCAAGCATTAACTACTAATCAACCAGAGATGTCAAAACAAAAGCAGGTGGTCATATGCCAGCAGCAATATTCCCCAAAAGAAAAATGAAAAACCAAAGATATACATACGTTTTGCCGGACTATTTGGGTCCTTGCCCTACTGCGACAGAAGAGAAGGTTGCGATTGTGATCAACATGGTCCCGGGCAACAACCACACCATACACAGGCAATGGCCATTCGAAGCCGCCTTTAATTTCTGTGAGTTTAATGGAGAAGATCTGCAAGGTATTCGCGACGATACCATCGTCTAAGCTGGGTTTAGGTGTCGAGTATTTGAAGCGCATGGAACTCAATTGCGTTGCATGGAAGCACCAAAGTGAAGAATGCGTTAGAAATCTAACAAGAACTAGTGCTAGATAAGCAAACAGTGCAAACCCATTCCCTTGCAGCTTATAGAAGGAAGGTCAATCGACCAAAGGTAAAAGAACGGGAAGGAAATGAGAAGTAGCTATTAGCTAAATAAAATTGAGTGATAATGCATGCATGTCAACTCACTCGTGCCTTTGAAGAAGCCGCATCCCCCCTTGGATCCCCATCTAGATTCCCAGTCACTTCTGTAGGAAGCGAAATCCTCTTCCTCGGCCGCCATGACCTCCTCCATGGTTAATTCTTGGGCCGATTCGCCTAAGTCCATATCGTCCTCCATCGTCTGCTTCTGCTTGTTCACCTCCAGCTCCATGTGCTGATCACCATGCTGGATGCCAGCGGGGCTGCGGGGAAGAATGTGCATGCTACGAATCGCTTCATTTATTTTGCGGCACATTACCGACAACTCTTGAATACGCGTCTTGGAGTGGAAGTTGATCGTGTGTCTGCCTGCCTTCACTTCTTTGAGCACCTGCACGTAGGATTCGAGCTCCGGGAGAAGTTCCTCGGCCGATATGCGTATGTCCATCTCGTCATCGACTTCCAATCTGCAGGAAGATATTGGTTCGGCCATGGAATCGTCGCCTGATCTGAATGTGGAAATCTTCCGGTAAGCCGCCAGACCAATCGCCTCGGTAGTTATATGCTTCACCCTCGTCGGTGCTTGTCTGCTTCCGGCGAGTTTCTTTCGACCAGATTGGATCGAGAGGGTTTCTATGGAAGACGGGGTTATATATATCTTGCGAGCCATATACTCTCAGCCCAGCCCGACCCGGTTTAGGAGATTTATTTTTTTAGTGGAACAGCCGATTCTATAATCACACCCGGCGCAGCAGACGTGCTGGCCATCCGAACCATTACATCATATATGGAAGTCCCTCAAGCCATATCCTGACGATGCGGCCCAAACGATGCTAATGTGTGGGCAAGCTTATTTTATTTTATTTTTGAGGATTTGCAAGCTTATTACAAGTTCTAGGAGCAAAACAAAATGAAACAGTGGTACTAAAATTTAGACAAGCAAAGAGACGGCTATCTCTGTAGATGATTCCTTCTGGGGCTTTGTCATATGTCTGTGACTCTGTTTCCACCTGAATATTTCTCAGTTAGTTTTCTTTCTTGAAAAGCGATCTCCATAGCGCTAGCCGTCAGGGGCCGTCACCGTTTCCTCCAGCGGCTCCCATCAGCTGACGAAGTCGGTCGTCGGTGGTGAGGGGAGTCGCCGGATCCACACACAAGGATCATTTTAGGCCCACATAGTCTAGGGTTTTAGGATGTTCATCGTCTTGATTATGGCGGTGAGGATAGCGGCGCTGAATAAAGATTCTTCATATCCTTCCCCGACGACGCGACCAATCTTGTAATTGGGGATGAATTTGAAGACCGGTCTGTTTAAGTAAGGATGTGTGCGTACTTGGCTGGTTGGACTATGTGGTTAATTAGATTGATTTTCTAGAATTCATGTAGATACATTGTTCACTATACAGAGGTAAGATAGAAAGCTTTCATATGCTGTCCAGATTGCACAGCACATGCATGGCAGCATGTATGATCCTGCATATAATAACTTTCTTCGTGTGAGTGTACTTGATAGAGTTTATCAAAGGACATCGCTTTCCTCTGTTGGGGAATGTAGTAATTTCAAAAAAATCCTACGCACACGCAAGATCATGGTGATGCATAGCAACGAGAGGGGGGAGTCTACGTACCCTCGTAGATCGGAAGTGGAAGCGTTAGCACAACGCGGTTGATGTAGTCGTACGTCTTCACGGCCCGACCGATCAAGCACCGAAACTACGGCACCTCCGAGTTCTAGCACACGTTCAGCTCGATAACGATCCCCGGACTCCGATCCAGCAAAGTGTCAGGGAAGAGTTCCGTCAGCACGATGGCGTGGTGACGATCTTGATGTTCTACCGTCGCAGGGTTTCGCCTAAGCACCGCTACAATATTATCGAGGATTATGGTGGAGGGGGCACCGCACACGGCTAAGAGAACGATCACGAAGATCAACTTGTGTGTCTAGAGGTGCCCCCCTGCCCCTGTATATAAAGGAGCAAGGGGGAGAGGCCGGCCGACCCTTGGGGCACGCCAAGGAGGGGGGAGTCCTCCTCCTAGTAGGAGTAGGACTCCCCTTTCCTAGTCCAACTAGGAAGAGAGAAGGGGGAAGAAAAGAGAGGGAGAGGGAGAGGGAAAGAGGGGCCGCGCCCCCCTCACCTAGTCCAATTCGGACTCCCCATGGGAGGGGGCGCGCCACCTCCTGGGCTGCTGCCCTCTCTCTCCCCTCAGGCCCACTAAGGCCCAATACTTCCCCGGGGGGGTCCGGTAACACTTCCGGCACTCTGGTTTTCTCCGAAATCACCCGAAA